TTCCCACCTGTGTGACCCTGGCGTGTTCCTCACCCTTCGGAGCTTCCATTGCCACGTCCCTAGGGGAGACTGACTGGAGGTAGCCAGGAAGCAGGGCAGGGCTGGCCTAGGTTGTTCCCCATGAGCCTCGTGGGGAATGTGAGCTGTAACTCTGACCACACCCAGCACATGAAAGGTGCTTTCTGAATCCTCGTTCCTTTCCTTCATCCTCCTCTGCCTTGACCTCTCCCATAGCTTCCCCTGACCTCTTCCCCCAAATCCCACTTGGGTCCCCTGGAGCAGGAAGCAGGCCAGGCCAGCAGAACTCTATCTACTCAGGACAAAGGTAAGAAGCTCCTTTCCAGGCCCTTCTATCCATGAGCTGCCTTTCTCCTTCCTCGGGGACCTGGGGGCCAAGACGCCAGGAGAAAGAGCTGTGACAGGCTCTCAGTGAGGTGGCCACATAACAGAACAGAGAGCATCTTTCCTTCCCCAAAAGAGATGCAGCTGATCCCACAGTCCCAGCCAGAGGTCGGGAATGGGCAAGTGACTTCAGACCTGTGCTGTCCAAAATGATGGCCACTAGTCATGGGTCACTTTTATACTTAAATGCAAAACTCAGTTCCTCTCATGCTTGTCACAATTCAAGGGCTCAATGACCACACATGGCTAGTGGCACAGGTGTAGGACATTTCCCAATTCTATTGGACAGCCCTGTCCTACTGGTTCCGTAATGGAAAATTCCAAGCAGCTCTAAGTGACCACTATGCTCCCAGTCCCTCTGCCATCCAGCCACCCCACCCAGGCCCAGGGCCTTGCTCTGGGACCCATAAGCATCAGGCAAGTAGAGGAAGTCAGTGGGTCCTGAGCGCCCAGGTGCCATGGCTCAGCCCTTCCCCACCTCCTTCCCCTAAGGCTCAGGTTCAGCTCCCAGTCAGGGTCACAGGGAGGAGTCTCTTCTCTCAAACAGGGACCAGGGACACAGGTGTACACACAGACACACACACAACACACTTAGCCAGGAACCAGGGTGGGCAGCACAGGCTGCTAGTCACCCTGTCCCGAGCTCAGTGTGCACCTGCTGGGCCTCCCAGGGGAAGAACTGTGTGAGACAGCGGCTGGGACAGAATCCCTGCCCCGGGCACTTACTCTGGAAGCTCAGCACACAGCAGATGACGTGCCGGGTGCTTGGCTGGGGTTCCCTGGGACTAGAGGGGAAGGGAGTGGGGTTTATAGGGGAGACTGACTGGAGGTAGCCAGGAAGCAGGTCAGGGTTGGCCTAGGTGGACAGGGGGAGCCGCAGGTCAGGGTGGGGACGTGTGAGGAAGGGCGCCTCTGAGAGCAAATGCCATGTTGCTGACCAGGATCTGTGTGGACAAGGACACGTGGACGTGGGCCTCAGACTCACCAAGGATATGGCTCCCTAGCCCACATGGCAGGCAAGAGAGACCAAGCCCCAAGACAGCAGTGGCTTCAGAGCCAGGGCCAGCATCAGGACCCTTCAATGGCACCACATGTATGCAAATGATAGGTGCCCATGTACTACAGGTCACTTGAGGAAAATGGTGATTCCAAGTCCCTTGTTAATAGCTAGCTCTCCCCAGACCCTTTCCTAAGTGCTTACCTTGCAACCTGTCCTCAGAACAGCCCTGTTGGGGTGGCTTTTGTTGTCCCCATTTTACAAGTGGCGCAGGAATAGCAAGGCATACGCACACACATGCAGAGACACGCCATGTACAACTCCTGTGCGACTCCCCCTCGCACTGTCCCTGGCCCTCTTCCTCCTCTGGGCCACACACGGGCTTCTGTTATCTCTCCGACTAAATAACAGTAATGAGAAGCTCCACCAGGGCAGGATCCCCTCCTGACTTGTTTTTGAGCTCAGTCCCCAGCTTCACTCCTGGCACATAGTAGGTGCCTAAGAAACTCTTGTTCCCTGAACTATGAAGTACCCACCTGCCACCCACCCATGCCATACTGCAGAGACCACTTTGACGCAGCCGTGTCCCCCAGCCCATAGAGGATTTAGCATCTCAGAGCCTTGACTCATAGGGATGAGAAGTGATCCGTGTCCATTCTTTGAATCACATTCAGCCTGGGCTGGCATTTCCGTCCCCTGGGCACTGAAGACCACCCAGGTCCTGCTCAGCACGCAGCAGCCCTGTGCTCAATGCCGAGCTGCCATGTTATGCATGGGCTCTGGGACACTCTGTGCCCCTGGGGTATGGGGACTCTGATAGCTTCAAAGCCAGAATGGGGACCCAGGAACCTCTGGCAAGGATGGATGCCTGTCCCCAGGTCCTGCCTCACAGATGACCAGGAAATGTCCCCCTTGTTGTTTTGCCCCAGTGGGTGCTGGCTTTGCCACCCAGTGGCCCACAGCCCCACCCTCCCAGGAGCCCAGCCGCTGTCTACCCCTAGAGTCCCCAACATAGTCTTCTTAAAGGACTGGGTGGCTTCCCAAGGTAGCAAACAGGTGTCCTGTGGAGAGGACCCCAGAGGGACCTGTTTCCTGCTCGAAAATGGGGAAGGGGAGCATGGCAGGGAGAGGATGTGGGGGTTGAATCTATGGAATCCCGAGCCCTGCAGCCCGTGGCCCGGGGGCCCGTGGGGCCCACCCAAGCCCCCCTCACCTCCGGCCTCACTCTCCCTCTAGTTCAAGTGCTGTGGGAGCAACAGCTCGGCTGACTGGCAGCACAGCTCCTACATCCTGTCTCGGGAGGCCGAGGGCCGCCGGGTGCCCGACAGCTGCTGCAAGACAGTGGTGACACGCTGCGGCCAGCGAGTCCACCCCTCCAACATCTACAAGGTGGAGGTGAGTGCCCCAGCTCCAGTTGGGGGCACGGTGGGGGCCAGAAAGGCCATCTCAGGCAGATGGGTATGGTGCTTGGGGCCTCCAAGGGTCTCAGAGCCCTGAGACAAGCAGCTGCTACTGGGAGAACCCCAGAAATCATGGCATGAACCCTGGGGCCCCTCAAGAAGCCTGGGAGTGATTCCAAGGCTGGATCCCAGTCCTCTAATCTCTGGCTTTCTTCAGCCTCCGCTGGACCCAGTGGACAGCTAGCCGGGCCTTGCCCCTGCTGGGCTGAGGCTCGTGTAACCCTTGGCTCCATTGCAGGGAGGCTGCATCACGAAGCTGGAGCAGTTCCTGGCTGACCACCTACTGCTCATGGGGGCGGTGGGCATCGGGGTAGCCTGCCTGCAGGTGAGTTGCGGTGGGAATCAGCACAGGGGCTGTGTGGAAGCGCTTGGAGGCCCTCTCCCATTGACCGAAATAAGTGGCCCTTTATGCACCCATAGCCTGCCCTCCCCTGCCCTACCTGTCTTCTCTCCCCTTCCCTTTGCAACCAAGGATGAACCACAAGGTCAGTCTCTTCCCCAGGGAACACTGAACACTGAACTTGAACTTAGAAGGAACAGGGACCTGGGAGGAGTCTGAGTGTGGGCTCAGGTATGTGTGTGCACCCTGCGCGTGTACAGCCTGCGTGTGGGTCCTTGAACGTCTGCATGCACCTGGGTCTGCCTGGTTGGGATGTGTGCCGCACACGTGCTGAGATGTGCTTGTGCATATATGTGTGTGTGTGCACGTGTACCAGCACTCCCATGATGTGTGCGTGTGTGTGTGTGTGTGCACGTGTTCTCCTCTTGTACACCCAGCTCTCTCCCCGAGGATGGGCAATGCCCTTGGTCCTGTCACTTCCCTCCACACCACCCCCCAGCCACCACCCAGAAAGCTGGCATCGTTGACATCAGTTGCTCTAGTCAAGGGCCCAAAGAAGAGGAGCCAGGAGGGGATTCTTAGGGGCTGGGCAGATACAGTGAGCTCAGGCCCCTTAGGTCCCCACCTCACCCTCACCTGGCACTTGTACCCTGATGGAAGGTCCTTCTAGAGGGAGCTTCACATCCTGCAGTCCTGCCGTAGTAGCATCTAGGGAAGGCCAGGGGCTCTGGAGTCAGAACACCTGATCCAGTCCTGGCTCTGCTCCTGTGGGATCTTGAGTTAAGCTGTTAAGCTGTCCTTCAACTTCATCTGCAGAATGCAGGTCATTTCTCCAACCTCGTAGAGTCTAAATAAGAATTACAGGTTGCATGTCACCCACTCAGGGCACATGGCACTTACAAAGGCCTCCATAAGTGGAAGCTGTCTTCTCCAGTTACCTGTGAACTTTATAATATTTTCAGTGGCTTCCTTTCATCAGAGCCTCACAATAACCTGAGACCCAAGCCAGGTAGGGAGGAGATCAGGAATGAGATCTGGAGAGGCCACATAGGTAAGGTGTCACACCCTGACCAGACACAGAGATCTCCTGGATTTGGTTCTTTGCTTTCCCAAACCCCTAACCCTCACACAGAGGTCTATGGAAAAGAGACACTTAGAGTGCTCATGTGTAGGATCCTTCCAGAAAAGGTGCTATCCATACACAACAGTGTGTGGACCTCGAAGACCCAGCTGCAGTCTTCCAGGCTGAGAAGGTCCCCAGCATTTGGAGGAAGACCCTTCTTGGTTCTGCCACCTGCAAATCATGTGTCCTAGGGCCAGTTAGTTCATCTCTGAGCCCCAGTTATCGTTTGTAAACTGGTGTACTTACTCTTTGGTGGGATCATGAGAATTAGCAATATGCATGTAAATCACCAGAATTATTGCCGAGCATATAACAAGTGTTCAGTCAGTGAGGCTCATCATTTTCATGATTTCTACATGGACACATTGTTTCAAAAAACAAAAAAAAAATCTCCAGTGGTTCCCTGGCAAGAGCGGCCTGCCTCTATGTGCCCATTTACCTGCGTGGCCCAGGGAGCCCCAGGTGGACTTTGGTGCACTCCCCAGCACAGACCTTCTGTCCCATTTGCTGAAACCAGAAGAGTCACCACTGGAACCCAGGGAAGGGGCTACTCTGTGCTCCAGATCCTGGCTCAGCTGAGGTTTTCAGAAACCTGTTACTCCAGCAGTTGGGAGGGGCCTGCTCTATATGGATACAGACCAGGCCTGGTCTACTTCTGCACATTTCTTCATGATCCATCTGTCCAGAGAAGCCATAGCCAAAGGTACAGAAACCAGGGATGTTGAGTAGGACCGCAAATGCCTTGAGCCCCAGGTCAAGGTGGAACGTTACTGGGCAGTGCTTCACAAGCCCACTGAAGTTTCTTCCCACTCACAGCCCCCAACCTGGAAGGTTGAGGGGGAGTTTCACCTGGCCGCGGCTGTGGATCTCAACCCCTTACCCAGTGTTCCCCTCTGCAAGCCACTGAGCCTACCCTGCAGCAACCAAGGCTCAGGTTAGAGCTCCCTCTGCTGGCCAGAGCTGGGCACTAAGCTGCCCCAGTCCTCTAAGTGGGCTGAAGCCTCTTCCCAGACCCATATCCTCCTCAGAGCCAGAGCAGACACCAGGTACCTTCCTCACACACTCATCATGGCACTTTAGAGACCCCCACATTTCAGGATGTCAAGCATAAGATGGTTTCACAATGTTTCCTGGTCCCCAGAACTGGAGGAAATCATGTTTGGGAGTCAGAGGGCCTGGATTCTACACATAGCTCCACCTCTTGCTGTGTGACCTTGCTGTGTGACCTTGCTGTGTGACTGAACACCTGTTATATGCTCGGCAAAAATTCTGGTGATTTACATGTGTGACATTACATTCCTTCTCTGAGCCATGTAGAGTGGAGGGATGGAACATTTTTTTAGCCTTTATTAAGCAGCAGCATCCACTTTTTCTTTTTTCTTTTTCTTTTTTAACATTTATTTCTTAGGACACAATGCAATGCCTTTATTTGTATGTGGTCTGAGGATAGAACCCGGGTCCTGCCCGTGCTAGGCGAGCGCTCTACCACTGAGCCATAATCCCAGCCCCAGCATGCACTTTTTAATGGAGTTTCCACATAGGACCCCACTCTCCATTAAACACAGACGGCAGAGCAGCTGTTAGGATTGACACAGGAGACAGGACTTTCGTGACAGCCACCCTCACTTCTCTCATGACCCTGAGCTACTCTTGGGATTTCTGGTGCAGTTTAAAAACCACTGGCCCAATCCGTGTCTCAGGAACCTTCTGACTCTAATGTGTGATTTTGGGGGGCGGTAAGATTCCCTTCTCAGTAACCAGTTATCTTGGGATTGATGTCCTGAAGCAGGCAGGAATGTTAAAGCAGATAACTTGTGAACACTCTGAAACCAAGCAGAAAGTTCACGGAGTGTTGCCAACCCTGACTTCAGCCAGGTATTGGGCCACGTGTGAATGTCGCCTTGCAGACCAGACCCCGGGCACTTATGAGTTTAGGAGAAATTGTGACCACTGGATGAGCACGCTGGGAGAGGGAAATGAGATCAGTGTCAGCCTGGCTTTCAGTCTTAGACCATCTCTTCCTAGTTTTCCTAGTGATCTCAGGGATGGCCCAGAGTTGCCCATCAACTCTGATAATGGGCCACATCTGCAGAGAGAGCCGGTCTGTTCGTGAGAAAGCCAGCAGGGAAGAAAGAGCTCGGTGGGTGGAGAAGATGGACTGAAAGGGAGTTTGAGTCCTCACATTTAAGTCTTGCCTTGCTTTGCATCCAGCCTATGCCACAGGGCGGGGGGATATTCTGCCTGGGTTGTCTGATGCAGATGCAGCCTGGAGGGCCACTGGTGGAAATCAGGAAGACAGCCAGGATGCTAAGGTGCCAACTCAAGCCACACCAAGGCCCCATGCTCTGGTTCCAGCCCTACCTTCCCAGTGGGATGAGACCTCTACAGAGACTCCAGGGTGGTGGTCCCCAACTTGCCTGCACATCAGATCCCCTGGCAAGCTTTCAAACCCCACAAGGCCCAGACCACACCCCAGCACAAGTAAATAAAATGGTCTGAGACTGGCCCCCAGGCCTTGGTGCGTCCGCTAAGCTCCTGAGTGGTTCCTTAGTACAGTCAGGTCCAGAGTGAGGACAGGTGGGCTGGAAGCCAGGTGTGGGCAGTGTCAGGAGATGGGAGAAGAGGGCACTCTTCCTGGTGTCTCTAAACCACAGCAGTCATGTGGGGGAAGGAGGGGACTTCCCAGGTGGCTCCAGGAGACGGGCAGGAGCTGTAGGTGGAACTTACAAGGAGACAGATTGGAGACCTTTTTAACGACCGCAATTAACCCACAGTGGTCCTTGCAGAGCCCTGGGTTCTCTGGGGCTGCCGGCTGGGACAGAGGTTGGGACCAGTGCAGAGGCTAAATGGAAGAATGCTTTTCATCAAAGACAAGGCCTACTGGGAAGGCACCTGATCCTTCCAGCAGGACCCACGGACTCCTCTGTCCACCCTGGCCATGTAACTTGCCGTACTGCAGGCCATGTCAGATCAGATAGGGACCATGAGGCTCTTGAGGTGCCCCCACATCATAGACTCCCAGACCAAAGAAGACCCTGCTGACCGCCATCAGTTCTGATGGCACATTTCTAAATACCCTGCTCCTGTTGGCCTGGGAGGAGTCCCATCTATGGGGTAGAGAACCCCTAGGCCCATCTTATTCACAGAAAGTGACAGAAATGGGGAAAGAACCAGGTGAGGGAACAGCATGGGCCTGGCTGGCTGGCGGGGGTGGGGGATATGCTCAGGGCCCAGGTTAGGGATGCTGTCTGGCTTAGGGGTCAGGAGGGCCCTAGTTTTTGGTTTGGGTTTTTTGTTTGATTTTTGTCATCCTAGTTTTTAAAGCACCTTACTCTGGACCAGTGAACAGACTGGGAGCATTTTTTACTGATGGAGTGAGATGTAAGGCTCAGAGAGAGATGGAAATGTCCCCTTAGGTCACACAGCCCATCAGTGCTTACCCCCACATAGAATGCAGCCCTCTAGCACCCCAAGATTCCTTGTGATTGGATACAGGCATGTTCCAAAGCCTCGAAAACTCGCAGGACAGCCAACATTGGGATCTATAGGTCGTGAGAAGGAAAACCAAAAGGTCCTTTGGAAATGACCTCCCAGAATCTTCCTGGCCCTTCCTCCCAGCTCTCTAATGAGGTGCTGGCTTGGAAATGTCAAGAAGGCTGAGAGCATGATGGCCTGCTTGTTAAAAATATCCTATACGTGGCCAAGTGCTCTGCCCAGGCAGCTCCCAGAAGAAAGCACTGTGCCCACGCAGGCCTGGCCCAGCCTCCCCTCTGCCGTGTCCAGCTCCTGCAGTCAGCTTGTCCTGTGTCTGGGAGACGCTGATGCTTGTTCAGGACCCCTTCCGTTATTATCCTTTACCTCTTTGCATGATTCTGGGTGTGAAGTGTGTGCATGTGTGTGTGTGTGTGTGTGTGTGTGTGTGTGTGTGTTTGTTCATGTACACACATCTTCGTGAGAGCATTGTTAACCCCTCTGCATGATTCGGGGTGGGTGCGTGTGCATGTATGTGTGTGCATGTCACATGTGTGTTCATGTGGACACGCATTAATTAGTGTGTGGCCCACACACCTCTGCCTTACTGTGCCTGTCCTGGGAAACCCACATCTCCTGCACAGATGTGTGTACCAGGGAACTCAGCTCCTTCATGCACCTGGCCATGCACATCTTCATCAGCCAATCCTTCTCCCTCTGGCTGGAGCCCTGTGGCCACCCAGGTCTGCATTGCCAAGATTAGAGGGGTGGGGGGTGGGGAGCTGGGGGAATTCAGAGCATTGTTTCTGTATATAAGGAAATCTACCATCACCTCTGTGCTATGGGACAATCATGGGGCTGTTCAGGCACAATGCCCCTCTCCTGTGGACAGAGAGTCAAGATCCAACATGTCATTTTCATTATCAAAATCATGATGACCGTCACAGGGCTTCTTGGTCTGACACATCCCCATCTCCTTCTCCTTAATGCATCCTTGGTTGAGAGGAGGAGGAAGAGGGAGGAGGAGACCCCATGAAGAGCAAAAAGGAAGAGTGAAGGTCCTCTACATTTTGGAAACGGAGAGCATGAGACCTGGGGTGGGAGGCAACTTTCCTAAGACTCCGTGTGCCCCAGGCAGGGTGTGGTAACCCCTTCCTTTTTGGTGAGTGCCTGCCCACAGAGGGGCTGTCAGGAAGGACTCCTAGGCCCTAGGTCTGCATCCCGAGATGATTGACAGGACACACTAGTGCTCCTCCCAAAGTCTCAGCTTCCTGGTGGCTTCTGATATCAGTCAAAGCATGGATGATGCTCTGGAGTCCAAGAGCAGCAGACTCGAGGTGAACTAGAGAGAAAGACACTTCAGCTCTAAGGAGGGAATGGAAATATCACCACTGAGTAGCTAATTAAATCAGGCCTCCAGAGCAGACCTGGGATCTCGTGCCAGCAACATCTCCTGGGAGCACCTACTAGAGAGATGCAGGTCCTCAGGCCCTCGCTCAGGCTGCTGGGGTTGTAATCTGCCAGGTAACAAGACCCCAGGTGATTCATGCCCATCAGAGTGTCAAAAATGTGCTCTTGGACAGTAGTTCTCAGAGTGCGGTTCTCCCAGACACACCAGCATCACCTGGGAGCAGGTGAGCAACGCAGGCCCACCCCAAGCCTGCAGAGGGAGAAGGGCCCTGGGATCCCGTCATGCCCTCCAGCGGAGCAGCCTGCTCAGGGCACTGCAGCCATGACCTCATGGGGTTCTGATTTCCCTTTGCTCTCTGCTCTCTCCCTCCTGGCAGATCTGCGGGATGATTCTCACCTGCTGCTTGCACCGGAGGCTCCAGCGGCACTTTTATTAATGGTCAACCCTGTCCCCTTCTGGCTGTCCCTCACAAGTACAAGGGCCTACATCTCCACATCCATCAGCAGGCCTGACCAGAGCCATGGACTACCTTTACCCTGGGCCCAGGCCCGGGAGCCCACCAAGTGCCTGGATGGTGACTCCTGCTCTCCCCACCTAGGCAGGGACCCTCAGCCCCCACCCCTGCCCTTCTGAGCATTCACTGCCAGAATCCTGGGCAGGGAATGATCCTACCAGGACACAGCCAGAGCCCCTTGCCAGGCATGAAGTGTCCAGGACAGTAGGAAGGTGAGAGCTCTTCACTTGGTCCCCTTGTAGCTGGAACCTGGAAGGAAGGCTGGAATCTGGGTCCCTCTGGGACTCCTGCATTGCGTTGGGTGCTGAGCAGCCTGCATCTGGCTCATGCCAGGGACCTCCTGGTAGGGCAGTTAGGAATGGCTGCCTCCTAGTAAAACTAGCCAGTCCCTGGCCTGACTGTTCCCCACACTTCGTCCTCCTATCTGCATTGCTGCCTGCAGGGCTGGGAAGGGAGGCTTGAGGTGGGCCACCTGGTAGTGCTGCCAGGAAAGGAGTAAGAGCCCTGCACCCTGCCATGCCCCCTTCGTGGAAGAGATTCCCCCTGGAGACCATGGCCCCAAGCTCCAGCCTCCAGTAATATGCACATAACTCCTGTTCCAAGGCTTATTGTCAGAGAAGCCAGGTTTTCAACCATCTAGCTGCTAACATCCGAGGATTTAAAAGCCCTCCCCAAGTGGACCAAAGCAGGCCTAAAAAGTCAGAGCCACAGAGAAAGGGAAGTTCTGAGGAGGGGTACCCTGCCTGGACCCCACTTTTCCTGAGTCCCTCTCTCCCTGACCACATGATCATCACCCTGTTCTTTCCAAGGGCCTCACTCTGCTTCCTTTACTACTGCCCCGGAGCAGACACAGTCCCTTCCTTTGGTTCTCTTGTGCATCAATGATTGAGTCAGGGAATTTTCAGGAAGAACTTTGCCAAATGCTAAGGGAGACCAGAAAGAAGATTCTAGAAAACATAGGGTAGAGTATGTATCAACTCCTAGACCCCCATCAGGAACCACCCGGGGCCCCATATGACTGTTACCTGGGCAGCTCATAACATAAGAATCCCACTCCTGGTTTCCATCCTTCCAAGGTCCTACACTTCTGTCCACCTAGGGGACCCTCCTACTTCCCCAGCAAGAAGGGGTGGCACTTTGTTACACTGAGGCAGAGACCACCTTCCCTCCCACCCTATCCAGCCCTCATTCTGATGAGCACAGCTCTTGCTGACCCAGGCTCATCCTGGAGGAGGGACATTCTCTTCTATACTTAGGGATGCCCTAGGGGCCACTCACTGCTGTCATCAATGTAGTCCTGAATGGTCCAGACACTGCGTCCTCAGAACAGGAAGTAGCCATGTGGACAGAGTTTAGACCAGGCTCTGGGGGCCCACTGCTTTCTCCACTCCAGATTCCCCAGGGGCTCCTCACAGCCTGGGCTGGTTTATCTCATCTGCCTAGAGGGCTCTGGAGTTGCTGATGCAAATTCAATAAAAAGAAGACAAGCTCTCCCAGCAAGCCCAGACTGCACCACAGCCAAGAGAAGTGGTGGTTATCTTAGCTGCCCTCCAACTTCCTGAGACTCATGCAGATGATCAAAACTTGTGGTGACTCCCAGGCTTGCAGAGAGAGGGAGGAGAAAGAGAGTGCTGGACTGGGACCAGTCCTTCCCGCAGAGGGGCCGCAGGGGAGACGGTAGCGGGCAGGGATATTCTGTGGCCTTCTCCATCTGCCCCTGTGGGCTCCCTTAATTCTCAGGGAGATGAGGACAAAGGTGACAGGTGGGCACCATTTGCACAGTCTTGTCACTGACACAGGTCAGGAGAGCCTGACTCATCGGCCCCTAGCCCAAAAGTAAGGCCAACCTTACTAGGGACAGGATCAGCTGTGATTCCTTCCCTGGGCACCATCCTGTGCAGATGGGGGCACGACTGGTTGGAGCTGCAAAGTGGAGGACAGCCCAGAGCTTTTGGAAACAGGACCTCCTTATTCATGCCCACAGGGTCGACAGGAGACAGGGTCAGAGGAAACAGGGCCCCAGAATACAGCACCTTCTGCCTAAGGGCATATAACGGCTGCCATCCAGAGCTGTCAGGTTATGATCCTTGGTCAGATGTGCCCCTCCCTCTGACAGATATGCAGATCCATGCCTGAGATGCCTCCTCCTGTTCCTGCTTGGAGGCTGTCACAGTCTCAAGTTCCTTGGAAAGAGAGAAAAATATGCCTGCAAAAAATCAGATCCTCAGTCCTAGGGGACAGGGACACAAAGTGTCCTGGGGTCCCTGAAGCTTGGGTTGGCATATTCTTGCCTTGAGCAGACTAAGCACCCTGCCCTAAGCTCCCAAGGGCAACACAAAGAGCAGAGCAGATCCCCAAGTCCCCGGATGACCAGGGAGGGGAAGGAATGAAACCTGACAGTGGTGAGAGTTGAGATGTTTACCCCAGTGAGCATCTTTCTCCTTCCCTCCCCTTCACTGTAGCCCTGACTCCAGGAGTGCCTCTGGCATGGCCACTTGAGGAATGTTTATGGAGGGTCTCCTGTGCACTTAGAATGGGTTAGTTGCCATTAAATACATTACCTTGCAGTGACCCCAGTGAGAGGTACTAATTCCCCCATTTTGCAAATGAGACAATTAAGGCTCAGCTACGTCAGGGGCCCTGCCTGTCTGTGGTGATGGCTGTCGTCATGGTCCTCCGCCAAGTGGACCCAAGGAAGCCCAGGCCCCTCTGCTCAGCATCCCATAGTCCTCGGCCTCTGCAACAAGCTGTCAGCCTGGCACTCAGGTACAAAGTGTCCTCCAGGGACCTTGCCAGATAGTGGCAGCCCCAACACCCCTCCCAGGTCGGACAGAGCCATCCCTCGAAGCCCTGCACATTTGCAAGTTGGTGCGGAAGTCTTGCGTATTTCAAGTGACAGCCAGGCTCCCCCTAGCAGAGAGGCTCAGGCACACTTCCATGATAAGGTTGACACCACAGTGAGGGCTGAGACTATCCCTCTGCTCCCAGAACCCTCAAACAGGGTGGGGTGGGAATCTCATGCCCATGTGGACATTAGCATCAGGACAGAAATGTCTCTCCCTGCCCCATTCTGGGGCCTCAGATCATGGGCACCCCCAGAGCCACCCTGGGCAGGGACGGGCTCTAGGGGGTGATGCTGTCCCCTCCTCTTCCATTGAGGCCCTTTTCTGCCTTCTTGCCCTCTCCTGTATTGAGCACCCATTGTTGCTGGGCTCTAGGATGGATACAGTGTCCCTTTTGTCCGCAGAGCCTCACTCTGGGCACGACCATAGGGATTCAGATCCGGAAGGGTTCTGTGACCCTGGGGGAGCAGGATACGATAGGTCACTATGATCGGCCCCAGGACCCTCATGCCTGAAAAATCCACTTTGGCCTTGATATCGGCAGCTCTGGGCCCCTCTTCAGGGTTTGGAGGTAAGGGGAGTGAATTGGAACAGTTACCTTCATCACCACGCCACCCACTACCAACTTTGGAAATACTCCCTAGGTACAGGGAGGGCCATGGTCCGCTGGGGAAGGAAGGGGAGAAGAGGTGGGCCATCTGACCAGCTGAGGAGGAAAACAGTCTTTTGAGTGGCCGCTGGGTGGCGCTCATGTCTGCCGAGGATGGTACTGATCAAGCACCAAACCCAGCAATTCTCAAACTTGCTCTGGCGACATGATCACCTGGGGACTTTTCAAAACAGACCGCAGCCTCCCCAGAGTTTCTCATCAGAAGGTCTGGGGTCAACGATTTGCATTTCCAGCAAGTCCCTAGGAGGTGTTGATGCTGCTGGTCCTAAAACCACTGCTTTGGGCCATATCATAAAGGAAGACCTACTACCTTCTTTCAGATGTCACACCCCCAGGGTTCAAAAGCCCAGCAGGCTGTCTGGCTTGAGTTCCACCTGCTGCAGCCTGCGACTGTTCCCACTTGATCCGCTGGAAGAGGGTGGGATGAAGCGGCCACTGGTGTCTGTTCACAGCCAACCAGAAAAGCCCCTCTCAGCTCTGCATTCTTGCAGCCCTACCCTGATGTATCTGTGACCTTGGCCATGTTGCAGCAGTGGCCCAGGTACCTGGATCCTCTTCCTGGAGGGGGACTAGTTACATTTACCAGCCTGTTTTCCCACCACCTTCTATGTGCCTTGAGACAGCTCTGCTATATGCTCGTCAACCCCAGCCAGAGCACAGTACCCAGCTCCGTACTATTCTAGGCCTCCCATGATCCCTGTCTCCTTCCCACCTAGGCAACACCCATCCCACACCCCGCCCTCTGCCCCGAGCAAGTGCCACTAGTAATTCTAAGCAGCCCAGTGTTTGGAGGCCACTTGGGCTCCTGGAACCAGGTGGCCCATGAATGTGGGTTACCAGAATATTCTAGAAACAGAGAAGTTGCCTTAACTTACTGCTTATAGGGAAGCGATAAGTATGCCTCTCTCCTTAGCTGATTTCACTGGAAGCCCAGCTTCATGTACTACAGGGCTTGACAATAAAGGAATTGTATTAAGGACTATGTTCTGCTGATCTGTCTTTTGCTCCTGTAAGGGAATCCCAGGCTATTGGCTCACCAAATGCTCTGTGATCCTATAGAAGCCTCCACGCTGGTCATGGCTCCCCTATTAGCAACCCACTGACCCCATTGGTTAGGGTCCTGCTCAGCCTGCATCCATCAGCTCTCATCATTCGTTCGTCTGGAAGGACCTCTCCTGCTCACGGGTATCATTAGCTCCTGCTCTGGCTGCAAGTGAGAACCAGGCTCAAACAAGTGTGTTTGGATTGGGTTCTGCTTAAAGTCTCCCACCTTCCGTCTATTGGTGTTTTCACACCATTCCTACAAGACTTGCCTGCCTGTGTTAAGAAGCCTGCATTTGGCTTCTCCCTGCTCAGACCACACACACTCACCCTCTCTGGCTGTAGCAGGTGCAGAGTGTGGCGGGAGGTCTGGCTGACTTGCATCCTGGATCCCAAGCCACCTCAATCCAGCGAATCTAATAGACTTTCTCCCTCTGGCACCATCTGATCCATTTCCATCCCCAAATCTAGATTTGGAAACTTCCCCTGCCAGCTTACCTGGCAAAAAGCTGAAAGGAAGTGGATACTTTGTCTTTAATGACATAAAATATTCATTTTCTTTAATTCACTCCTCTTTCTAGAAAATTTGGTTGGTGGGGAACCCAAAGAGTATTTTGGTAATCTGGGCTCAAGGGAATCCCAAGACAGAAGAACTGGGGGGTGAGGCCCAGGAGGCAGCCAGGAGCCAAACTACTTGCCTGTTTGAACTTGAGGTGGGCCTGGCCACTTGCTGTGTAAGCAGATTGAGCCACCTGAGGAAGTCCCCAGGCAAGGATCCCTGTGTCTCTGGGGCCACTTTGGGCAATGTTCAGTTGTTTCTCAAACAACCACAACAGAGTCCTCTATGGAATGGGATGTGAACAGGGAATGGCCAAGCCTAGGACATATTCATGGTCCCATTGGCCTGGGACATCTGCTCACCTCTGCTATCACTGTGTGTGTGTGTGTACACATACACACTTGCACATACACGCACAAGCACACAAACATACCTGAGGAGGGACAAGCGCCACTCCTCCCCTTTCTCTGCTGCAAACAGGCGTTGCTGCTGGTGGTTTGCAACTGCTGTCTAAACATCCCTAGCAGCCCACGAGGGCCTTGTCAAGGCAGGCAGGCAGCAGGAGGTGGTTGCTGAAGCAACACCAGGCTCCCCTTGGTGGCTGCTGCTGGCCTGTCAGCTGCCACCACTTCTCTGAAGGTGTCAATGCCTCATGGCAGCCCCACAGGCTGGGCTGTCTTTGTTGGGGACCTTGGATTCCAATACTTCCCCACAACTGAAAATAGAGAGGCTGATGGGGTTGCTATGGTTTGGGTAAGTGTCCCCAGAAGACCCATATGTTAAAATCATGATTGCCAGCTTGTGGCACTATTGGGAGGTGGTGGAACCTGCAGGAGGTGGGGCCTAGTGGGAGGAAGTTAGGTCATTGGGGGTAGGCTCTTGAAGGGGATATTGTGACCCAGGCCTCTTCCTCCTGTCTCTTCTTTGCTCCCCCATTGCCATAAGGTGAGCAGCTTCCCCCACATACACTCCAGCCACGATATACTACCTCACAACAAGCCCAAGCCATGGGGCCAACAGTCTGAAACCATGAGCCAAAATAAACCTTCCTCCATAGAAGTTTTATAGTTATGGAAAGCTGACTAGCCCAGGGGTGAGGAACAACTTCCATTAGACTTTTGAAATATTGAGAGTAGCTCATGAACCTCTAATTCTGCTTTAAAGAACCCCAAGCTGGGGATTAGAGATCAAATTCAGCGTGCGCTCCCTGAGTGGGACCCTTTTAGGGTCTCTTGCCAGGAAAAAAAAAGAATATATTAATATATTACTTGGGGGGGCTGGGAATTCAAATGGGGGGCATGGGGGTAGGGAAGGAAAGGACAAGGGCTTCCCATGTCATTAAGTGACAGAACACAGGCCACTGCTCATGCTGTCTGCCTGTTGGAGGGCCCTGCTCTGGACCTTGGGCCAGGCTAAATCCCACAACTTTGTAACCAGAGGAAAACTCTCTGGGCAACAGGAACCAGCCACAGACTACTGTGCAGTTTTCCTCCCCAAGTTTCTCTCTCTCTGCTGTGCCCAGGGCTACCAAGGGAAACTGGTCAGTACCCCAGGTTCATCCCAGTGAGCTCTCAGGTCTCTAGAAGTTCCAGGTGGGCAGCTTCGAGCAGGAGAGTGTGGCTCAAGCACACCTGTGGACCATTATTATTCTTTTTGTTAGCTTAAGCAAACAATCGTCCTTCTCATAGCTGTCTTTAAACACAGCAAAACCCAGATGGCTAAATCAATAGTCTCCCAATCTTCGCTGAATGCCTTAAGAAGAGACCATCACAATGCCAATAATTTTGTGTCCAAAATGACATTTATTTGATTTGTCTTCCCTGTTGCTGCTGTGGGTTATTGAATGCTGCTGCTGAGCCAGCCCAGGGCTGAGCTGAGGCATGGGGAAGCTTGTCCACTCTGCAGTTCAATCCTCTCTCAAAACACCAAACTGCCCTTCCTAGCTTGCTCTCCCTTGTCCCTGGCTTTGGGCCTGGGCGATGATCTTCCTTGGGTCGCACCTTTGGTTTGGGGATCCTGATTCCCCCAACTTCTTGCTGAGCACCTACTGATCCAGGAACTGTCTGGACGCCTACACACATTCTTTTATCTTAGCCTCCCAGCAAATCTGTAAAAGAGCATTATCCTCATTTTGCAGATGACAAAACCAAGACAAGTTCAGTGGCTGCTCCAAGGTTCATGTGGACACCAAATGCACGGTGGAAATAAATCTAGCTCTTCCAGTTCCCAGACCAGTGCTCCTGCCGTCCACACCATGGTACATCTCGAACATGAAGTTTGGGCATCCAGACAGCCAAGAAGATCGTTTTGGTCAGGAGGAACCTAGACGAGAGTTTATGAAAGCATTCTGGAAGCTGTGAAGCTCAATACAAACAAAAGGAGCGTTTCAGTTATGCCATGCTGGTCTTTGCCACTCTCCTGCGCGTGAGCACCAATACCAGACAGTACAGTCATCTATCTATTTGGTGCAGAGAATTAGTCATCGGCTTCTCCAGGGTGAGAGTGTCATGCTGGGTGAATGGCAAGGACACTCCTTCTCCCTGCAGTAAACCTCATTACCTATCAGGGCTAGCTGATTTCCCAGAGTGTCATTCAAATCCATCTCCCAGTGGTTCCATCATTTCTCACCCAAAACATTGCAGCACCCCGTCCCCTCTGCCCACTCTCTACACTGCAGCCAGTCATCTTCCTAAAGGCCAGGGCCAAGCCTATCACACCCTGGCTCACAGCTTCTCAGGCAGCTCCCATTGCTCTCAGCTGGAAGTTCAAGCTCTCTGACCTGGTCTGCAAGGATGAATTCTGGTGAGGGCTGCCCACTGCAGACACGCCCCCTCACCCTGTGCTCAGCCACCACACAGACACTCCTCCTTCCCCTCCTGCCCAGGTTAACTCCTCCATCTTCAGTTCTTGGCTTCGAGGGTACTTTCTCCAGAGGGCATCCCCCCCATGCAAGTTGGGGTTGGCTCCTGTCCCCACTGGATTGCTGGCTGTGGTCCAAGGTTGGGCACACATCTCCCACCACTGTATTGTCCGTGCTTGGTGGGTGCTGAGCTATTTGGCAGTCACTCACGATTCATCCTTTCTCACTTGCCTTTGCTGAGCACAGATGGAGGGAGGTTCTCCCACATCTCAAGGGAATGAAGAGGGCAAAACAGGGTTCCCCAGAGTCATCTTAAACCCATCTCCATGGACAGGAGAACCCAGAACCCATCCCAGAAGACTCGAGCATCACCATTAGAAGACCCAAGGAAAACAGAGGCCCGTCTGCTGCCCAGCCAGGGCTCCTGCCTTCCATGGCTCTACCAGGGTGTGGTGCTAGAAGAGGATTCAGTGTGTTCCACTGCCCTGTGAGCTACCAGCAGACAGCACACTGTCCCTGCTGGGATGCCCCAGCAGGCATGCCCACAACCTGGAGGGAAAAGTAAGAGCAAGAATTGACTGAGACAAAGTGGCTTCCCTCAGGTCAGTTGGTCAGCAGATAATAGCTTTCCTGCCCCAGCCATAATCAGCTCCTGCTTTTTGGGCCCCAAAATCCTTCTCAGTCAATCTCCTGGGGAGGCTCTCGGAGACCCCATTCCAGCTGGACCCTTTGAGAGAGGGTCACTCCAGATTCAGGGAACAGTAACCAGAGGCTTTGAAACATAACAGCTGCAAATAAGAGTTCCAAAGGCTGGTGTTTGGGGACAATTCTGAAGATGTGACTATTCCCTTGAGAGAGGAGATAAAGGAGTTTGGAGCTGCCCCTCCTCCTATTGCCTTCAGACCTGAGTGCACATTCATGCCTCATCCTGCCCCCATCCCAGGGACAAGTGACACAGCAATGACCCTGGGCAAGGACTCAGAGCTGCCTCATCTGTAACTCGTCCCTGTGGTGTTGACTACGACAACTAAGGAAAGCCTGTAAACCAGAACCCCAACCACGGCAGTGGGGGCAGCCCTCCCTGTGGCCATCCTCAGGCTGTGATTCCGGGGCTCTCTTGGAGAATGTCTCAGAGCTACCCTGGAAGGGTTCTCAAGCTCTCTGCACTCCTACAAGAGACGTCAGGCTCAAAGGAACCCTGAGAGTATCAGAGATGTGCTCCTCGCCCCTCACATAGGGTTGACCACTTCTGGGGAGACAGCCACTGAGATGAGGCCATGGTCTCTCATGTAGAGGGCTCAGGCCTCATTTGGACTAACCCCTGATCTAGGCTTACATATCAGGTCACCCAAGGAGTCGGGATTCCTTAGGTACCCACAGAGGGGACCGCGACCCTTCCCGCACCCGTGGGGAACCAGGACCCTGGGAGGGAGGTGAGGTCCCCGCTGGGGAAATGTCCTGGATGTCCTAAGATTGGAGTCCGAGGACTCTTGGGGCCCTTCCTACCAACCAGTATAATGAA